GTGATTCACAAAAACTCAAATGACAAATTTAGTTTACAGTTTCTCATTGGCTGTGCAGTTTTGATTTGTTTGTAGCAGCAAACAATGGCAGCTCGCCTGCTCACACGTTCTTGTATTACAGTTAATCTGTACACAAAAATATATTTCTGAAAATATTTTAGGTGAGTAATAGGCATCGCAGTTACAGAATTGTGATTTGTATCTGATCAGCACTACCTAGTTTGACAGTTTGGTCTGAGTTTGGCTCATTGAGCTAGACAGACTCACTGAGTATGACTTGCCATGTTGGCTTTACTTAACAGACCCGGAAGTTCTGTCCACATAATATCAGGCTTCTCCTGCAAATTGGTGATGTACATTAGCAGTTTGGCTATGAGCTGATGTGCAAGTCAGAGCGCAGGTCAGAGATAATATTTTAGTTACCAATCAACCCTAAAAAGGACCCCCGTTGTACATGGACCCTAATAATCACTAACAACCAGGTATTTCAGAAGACATCAGCAGACAACAAGAAGCACAAAACACACAAGAATTTGAAGCCCCCCAGAGTGTGGGATACAGTACTCAATACACAATCCACAGTTCAACTAACAATGCAAAAAACACCTCGGGATCTCATTGACGCCTCTTGCATCTCATAGACAAGCTATCTCTGGAGTTACCTGCCGTAGTCCAACCAGTGAGCTGCTGTCAGCTGCAGGGAATTGCTAGCCTTAGAGCTGGGCCGTTTGATGGTGGGTCCACGGAGTAGAAAGAGGATGCAGTTGGAGAATAATCCAATTCTGTAAAATGGAAGAACTATAAAATACAGACCTTTTGGCTTGTTGCCAGGGGTTGGCAAGCTAATCATCACTCTCAGAGCTGATGGGACCCCTTCCACTGGGATGGGCCCTTTTTGTCTTAAAGTGGCTGCATAGATATTTCCTGAGTTGACTGATGGACGCAGGGACGTGTGCTGAAAGGTGCAATGGCTATAGTTCATCCCCACGTCCACTATTGGAGACAAGTTCTGCTGACACCAGTAGTCTGTAAAACGTTCTATTGGCGCTGATGAATGGCACAAACCGATAACTCTGTAGACCTTTAGTTGAAAGTGAAACCTAATTGGATTCAATAAGGAATTTGAAAGGGTGTTGGGTTTGAGAAGCATATTTGAATTTGGATTCAATAAAATCCTATTGAACCCCAGGCCCATTCTAATAGCACCAGCCATCCACATATTGTTATTGATACGTAGGTATTCAGTTTAAAACATTGTGGTTTTTGATTCTGTCAGCCTGAACATCCTTTGTGATCACTGTCCTGCCAACTGACATTAGAGCTGGACACTTATCATCTTGAAGTATTAAATGAATTATACAGAATTTGAAGGGTTTGTACACACAGGCAGATCGCACTCACAGCCAACTTCTGGCTGTGGGTTAGTCTTTTAAGCGAGCAGACTGCTCCGCCTACAGCTGGCTCAGCGTTTGTCAATTTGAAATGTTATGTTGCCACTCGTGAAGGATGGAGCTCACACTGTGGAGCGCCACAGCCGCATGTTCAGCTGTTCACAGATCACTGCACAGTTAAGCTTCCTGTCTGTTATTTAATTTGTTGGCTCTTATGTGTGGTGCCACATGGGCAAACAGCTTTGTCGTATTTTGGGTTTCTGTTGAAGCTTAACAATTTCAGAAAACCCAACAGATTGTCATTGATGGAGGTGGAATTATGTATGTCCATAAATATGTGTAGTGAGAGCGGAGATGACACTAGAAGCTGGAATCAAACACACAACATTAAAAACACATGCCATCACATCCAAGCAGTAGTGTCAGATTATTTCATCATTCTGATGAAGCTCTGAGTTGTCTTTCAGTGAAAGAAAGATCTATGTCAGCTTGGTAATGTAGGTAGAGTTCTGCAATGAAGACAGAAGGCAATCCTGGCTCCTTTCCTGTAATTAAACTTGGAAAACATTCCATCCATTCCAGTTCCATCACCTTGGGATACAGTTGTATGAAAACGTTTTTTGCAATTCAAAACTGCCAGAACATGACGTGTATTTTGATCACATTTGGGCCAAAGTGCTTCAGTAGGCTGATGCATGGAGGTTGGATTTCTTCTTGCACAGGATCAGTTTCTCATCTGCCCTTTCTTAATAATTTTAAGCTTGAGTAAGACTGCAAGCACTCCATGACTGCCTGCTCTCCAGTGTAAACAGGAGGAGGCGGGGGAAGCCAAACACACCCACACACACATAAGGACTCTTCCCCCATTCTCCTTGTGTGTCCAATGTGGGATTACTGTGGTTGGTTCACATCTTCACTGAAGAGTGTCTGTCCTCCGGCAAAATCAGACAGAACACGTGCCCTGAAAGCAGCGTGGTGTCAGGCCATCTCTCTGCTCCACTGCTTCACTCCCCCCCCCCGCAGCCTGCACATCCTCTCAGCTCGCCTTGCCTTCATCCCTGTTATTTGCCCTCCCGCCCATTCCCACCCTTCGTCCTCTTCTTCTGTGTTCATTTCACAGTCTCCATTTCCAGCTCAACACCCTAGCAGTCCGCACTCGATTGGATTCCAAACCAATTTTGCCTCCATGAATACCTCTTAGTTCCGCTTTCCTTTTCACAATTACTTTCCAATTTTCAGTCCCATCCTGTTTCCTCTTGCAGCGGCCTGGTAGCTGATAGCTGAAGCTCTAGTAGCAGCCCATAACAGAGCAAAAGCAAGCAAATTAACCTTGCTGTCTGATAGCTCAACAGCTCCTTTGAACTTGCGATGAGCACTTTGTTAACATGAGGCTGAGACTGTGACATGAGCACCTGTTGTTGTGGCTCATGACCTTGTGTTAAGGAATTATGGGATGTTTAACCCAAGGTTTTGCCCTAGATGGACTCTAATGTGGCCTCCTGTGCTCTGACTGGTGTATCTCCAGGCTGGTAGTCAGCATTACATCAAGGAACATCTTTTTGTTCTTTGCTGCAAGGGCAGTGAGTAATACCCCCCCCCCCAACAATCATCACCACCACCACCACCATCATCAGCTGAACTTGATGATGAGCGTGATGAGGTTGTTTGTATTCCAGATTAAAAGTGTGTCGCAGGCTGGGTCATGACACAAGGGTTAATGCCAGCAGATGTTTCTCTGAAGCCTCATTCTAAGAGCATGTTGCGTCTGCACATAAACTTGTGAAATGCCCCCATGGGTAGGCTGTTTACTTTCTTTCTGCCTTGAGCCTGAATTACAAGTTCAGCTGTGTTTGCATGCACTCATCTGCTCATCTTCTGTAAGCAACTAATAAGCAATCTTTGACTTTGACCACATTGGGAACAGCTCTGTTATCTGTCCTTATGTTTACAAAATATACGGACACTGTTTTTGTTGTTTTGTGCGCTGTTATTGAAGAAGTAGTAGTAGTAGTAGTAGTAGTACTTTTGTGATATTCTCAAAAAGAGTATAATTTTTTTGTGCTAAAACCCCCAACCTCAAGATAAAAAAAAGTATTTTTAACCTAAAATTAAATTTAAAAAACCCAAATCACAATATATTGCCTTGCTTATAGTACTGCAATATATTGAATCGTAACCCCTGTGTTGTGATATGTATGGATTCGCCAGATTCTTGCCAATACATAGCCCTGTTGATCAATCCTTTCTTTATCATAAAAGTATATATATATTACATATTTGATAAGTGGAAACCAGGTAAATTTGCCATTTTTGCTTTAAAAAATGACCTAACTAAAATTATTTCAGATGAATTTTCTATTGATGGACCATTCAATTAATTGACTAATTGTTTTTAGCAGGGTAAAATGTACAGTTCCAGAGCACTAATTCCTTCAGGACAACAGAGTCATGTCATGTCATAATTCTCATCGTTTCTACTTTGCTGATTTTTCATTCAACGTTAAGCTGCCGCCAGTAACGCTTAACATTAAAAGCCTGATCTGCGGCGTAATACAATGAGCCGGACAGTCTGGCTTATCTGCAGGAATACAGAAGTTGTACAGTCAGTACAAGGCTGTCTTGCTGTGAGGTAAAGCGGTAAAAATATATTCTCAATACAACTGATACTACTACTTTTACTGATCTACTTTTTTTCTTTTGCACCCATCCACAGCAGTGCATTGCTCTGTATTTCTTAAGGAAACTTTAATTAGTAAGTAAAATGAGTATTGCTTTTAAAAAGAGAAATGTCAAGCAGCTAAATGGTGTGTGTGACTCTGTTGTTGTACTGATGGAATTAGTGTTGTGGCAGTGTACATGTATATTATGCTGTTTATCACAGAAATATGAAAACACAGAGGAAGGGTTGAGTTTGCATGAACAGCAAATCAAAACAGGAACAAAAATGAAAACTGGGGAGGCTTCTCTTAAATCACTAAAATATGAAATATCCTCATGAAACAAAAGGTGAAAATTGGGAACAATTGTTACTATCTCCATAGGAAAATCTCTTTACAACTTATCAATCCACTGTAACTGAATATGTACCCTAGGTTCTAAGTGTTAAGATCTGTTTCTTACTCACACACACAGTCCACACACCAAGGGCTTAGTGGCGGACTATGTGACACAAAAGTGTCTTGTTGAATAGTTGCGAAGAAACAGAAGTGCCAAAGGTGGTTTTAAAGCGAATGAGTGTGTTTTAGCAGAGAGTCTGTGCGTTGCCAGTACATGGAGCCCAGTCCCTCTGCATGCTCCCGTCTGTCCATCTGTGTTAACGCCTTGGTACCCAGGGGAGCTGCACGTTTGCAGTGGTGGTGATCATGAAGAAGATGGTAAATGGTAAATGGACTGTACTTGTGATGCACAGCATCAGGAGCAATTTGGGGTTCAGTATCTTGCTCAAGGATACTTCGACATGCAGGGGGTGGAGCCAGGGATCAAACCGCCGACCTTCTGATTAGTGGACGACCCACTTTCCCTCCTGAGCCACAGCAACTGATGTGAACTGTTTTACCCTGCATGCACTAACTTCAGTTTTTTGTGTCTTTGTTTCCTTTAACTAACCAGCGGTAAAGAGGCTGATGAAAGAGGCTGCTGAACTGAGGGACCCCACAGAGCACTACCACGCCCAGCCACTGGATGTAAGTTCAAGTGTATAGTGCCAGTATCAACACCATTTCTCATCCCGTATAGTCTAACAGAGCATCATAGGTGAAGATGCACAGTACAGTACATGCTCAGTACAAGAAGCGGTAATTCTGGTTTCATACAACTGTGTTTTGTCCATCATTTCTATCAGTGATAATAGCATTCTGTTTTCTAAAGAACTTAGATGTGGGAACATGGTGACATTACAAAATATAAGTTAGGTGGGTCAAGAAACACAGTCACTGTGACTTCACAAATTCAAGAATTCAAACACTAATTACGACAAAATCACTCACAAATGTCTAATAGGGTAAAATTATGAAGTGATGACATTGCACATCCAAAATCAGTCTTGTGCAAAAACCTTTTTGGCCATTATTCATCACCATAACTCGGGAACAAAAGGGGAGGTTGTCACCATATTCGCATTTGGGCAGAAACTGATTGAGTGATGTTAATCTTGTGTGCCCACCTTGAAACTGTGATGATTGTGACCTCAGGAAACGCAACCAAGGAGGGATCCCTCTCCAAGGATGGACAGACGTGCAATATATGTTGCATATACAGAATAGACCAACATTACAGTATATGATCATGATGACAAAATTACAGATGGGTTGTAAATATATATGAATGATGGATCTGAATCCGGGTGGGTGATGAGTAGGGGTGGGCGATATGGGCAAAAAATAATATCTCAATATTTTTTGGGATTTTGGCGATAACGATAATCAGTCGATATCCTTTAAAATGTCATTAGAAATGTCTGAGCTGGACTTGTGTCCACCAAACGCATTTACAGTGCTGAGAGAGGTCAAAAACTCATTTTCCGAGCGCCCAGCGGTGTTAAAAGTTGAACAGATTTCAACTTGAAGCGCTCTGAGCGCTGCGCTAAAAAAAAACCGTCTCCACTGACATCTTTTTACCGCTGAAGGCGCTTAGCGCTCTGAACGCTGAAGCCCATAGGACCCACGTCTCGGCACTAAATCATCTGAAGTACTGGTAGCTTCAGGGACTGGAGGTGCTTGCATTTTCTCTCTACCATCACAACGCGCTGCTAAACTGTTGCAAGGAGGATGCTAGCGAGAGGTCACGTGATCACGTCATGTGATCACATAGGCCCACTAGTTGTGTGACTGAATCCTGCCATGCTGTGGAGAGCGTTGCTGCACCGTGTATTAATGGATGTGAGGAGTTTCCGCGGGCGTTTCATTGTTTTTGTCGAAGTAATTTAAATACTCGATAATGGAAATTTGCACATCGTCAAAACAACAATGACGATATTATCGCAAACGATATATATCGCCCACCTCTAGTGATGAGTAACCCCAGGTGTCACCAGACACGACCTCCACTGGACACCTTGAAGAGGACAGACTACAAAGACTCACAAGAGCAAAACTCAATTCACACAAGTAGTAGTAAAAAGAACAAACACACAGAGGGAGAGAGAGAGGGAGAGAGAGAGAGAGAGAGAGAGAGAGAGAGAGAGAGAGAGAAGAGTCTGAATCTCCTGGAGAACGAAGATCCATATCCAAACATGAACATGGCTGTAAATGGCAACTTGACTGGTTAGTGGAAGCATACAACTGCAAGGCGGTAGTATAGTTTGGCATTATTAGATAAGGCACTGTGGGTGCCTTAGATGAGAGCTCATTAATGCTGCTAGTGCTTGGTCCAGAAGGGGTAATTAGAATTATGTTTGATTTAGTGACATTCTGCAACCAGATTGAGGTTTTTCAAAAAGGTCCTTCTTCTTAACAGAAGAAATCAGTTGAGTGAAGACAATTTTTTCTAAAATCTTGGATAATAATGGCAGATTAGAGATACATCCAAAATAGTGTATTACTGTAATGCCAGAAAAAAAATGCATCAGTTAGATTTATTGTTATAACATGGTGTTTTCAATTACTGAGTTATACCAAGAAACCTTTAATATAACAATATACTATTTATCTTGTTATAACCTGAAACTTGTCACGTTATAATGTGAAAAGTTTCATGTCATAATGTAATAACTTCATAAGTGTTATAACATAAAATGTTTCACATTATACACATTATAAAGGTAAGAAATCATTCACTCCTCAGAGGATTCAACTGGCTGGCTAAGCAGGGGACGATTCAGAGTTTATGATTTTACAAAGGATTCTGTGATGATTCCTTGCTGCTTTGATTGCACACTGATCAGTAAACATCAGATCTATGAAAGGAGCAAAGGAGAAAAATCTCAAATATTCTTGCAGGAGCTACTAAAAACACTGACAGGCTCCTCTACAGTGAGGCCCTGGTATTCACTCGTACAAAAAAGTCATTTTAGGCAGTAAAAGCATGACAGAAACGAGAATAGAGAGTGAGTGTTAGGAGGTGGGTAGAGCAAATCCCCCACACAGATTTGCTCCATCTACATGTCTTAGTTATATATGATATAACTATGAAGTTGAAACTTTCGCTATATCCTGACAGTAGAACATGAGACAGATTATGTGTGAAACAATCGGGTTCCTCTGACTCATTCTAGTGCTCCTCATGGCATTTGCAAGAATCTACCGGGCCTGAACGAAAACAACCAACCAGAGTCAAGAAAGATATCAAGACGTTTTGGGTTGGAGGCTTAAAGATAGCTGACTGTTGAGTTACATTCCCAGGGTCCCAAAAGCATCTATATTTGACACTCTCGGAATGAGACTCAATCACGTCTTCTTTTGTTCTGAATTTTTTTGTAAAACTTACCCTCTGCAGCTTTAAACTTAATACTTACTTAATAGTTTTCATAGAAATGGAATGTCTTTTATTAACTGCAAACTGCCCAATTAAAATAACTGCTGACTATTTGCATAACAAACAGCTGTGTGGGTAACGCTCCACAGGACATGTCACTGTCGCAGAGTTGTGTCTGTCCTGATGAACATGTCTGTAGTATGTGCTCAACGTGACATCTCTGTCTTTCTGCAGGATAACCTCTTTGAGTGGCACTTCTCCGTACGCGGGCCTCCAGATTCTGATTTCGATGGTGGGGTTTACCACGGCAGGATCGTGCTTCCCCCAGAGTACCCAATGAAGCCCCCCAGCATAATCCTCCTCACAGTAAGACACCGACGAAGGCCACGTCTCAGCTGAATACCGATTATTCTCCCGCTGAAGCGGAACAGGAAGACGTCAAATCAGATGATCAAAGAGTGGAAAATGGACAGCATGTCATTTAACCCTCAGCCATTTCTTGTTGCAACACACGAAGTGACAGTTGTCAGATCAAAGCCTGGGCTGTCATCACACTGTCAGAGGAAATTGCACTGGTTTTGTGAGAATATGAGACTGTCTTATTATATTCAGACAGCTGTATGACACCTGCACTAATGACAGGCTGATAAAAGCTCAAGAAATCTGAATTGTTGTGACAGACACTTTTTCATTGTGTCCAGCTCCTTTTCCTCTTTTTCTATAATGTTTATTTTTTCAGTTTGCATCATTCTTTGAAAACTCTTACTTTTGTAGCATAGCAGCCTGCATTTCCTCATTCCTCAATTGTTTCAAACCCCATGTCCGTCTGCTTGTTATAACTTTTAAGAATGAATGTTTTCTGACCTCTACCTTCTTCTATTGCCTTTTCTCCTAGCCGAACGGAAGATTCGAAGTTGGGAAGAAGATTTGTCTGAGCATCTCTGGCCACCATCCAGAGACCTGGCAGCCCTCTTGGAGCAGTACGTATCCTCAAAGACGAGTCTCAACTCAGAATGTAGCTCAGTCTCCTGAGTTTCTCAAGTTACTTCTTTCTCCAGCTCGTGTTTTAGAGCCTGTTGACACCCGGTACTAACATGCGTCTTCAGGGATTGGATTACAAATGGACAGCTCTAAATACAAGTGTAAAAAACGTCCCCTAAGACCCATTGTGATCCGAGCACTCATACCACTTGTCGAGTTGGTTTGACCACATATCTTTTGTAGTGTAAACACTAATGTTAGAGGCCACATTATATTCCCCAGACTACCCTAAAACAATCACACAATTTTGAGAGTTGTTGAACATTTTACATTGCCATTAGTTATTTCTTTGTGTAAAAACATTGTGTCTGACAGGAGAGAGGCTCCATGGTACGATCAGGATGCAAACTTTTACTTTCTGTCAATCTGGCATTGATACCTTTCTTCGTTATCGTTGATTTCTCTCTTGAAGGGTTGCTGACAGTGCAAGTAAAGCATGAGACTCTAAGAGGCTGATAGAGGAGTACAGTGTGGCGCTGAACTGAAAAAACTTAACAAATAGACTAATCTTCATATTAAACAGCCAGTGATAATGAACATTGACTGACAGAGTTCTGCGTAGGTCCCAGCCCTGTTGTGTTTATGTGCATACAAAGTGAGATCCAATCACAAGTGCTCACTAGAGATGCATTGTGATGCCAGGTAAACTCCCATACTTAGAGCTGTCCACTTGTGATCAAATCACCCAAGACGCATGTTAATACCAGGTCTTAACAGGACCTTAGTTTAGTCTGGAAAGATCGATGAGTCTTGATATTTATAAAGTGATCAATCACAGGCATTTGTAGCAAAAGTATGAAAAACTATTGATGTTCTTTCCTCATGCGTCAGTACATGCACAGATGTTTTACTTATTGTGTTGTAAAATGACAGAACGGCAGTCACACTGCTTATAAATCACATTTCCTTGATTCTGGAATAAATCTGGTATTCAGATAAGGACAGGGTCTCAAATTATAGGATAACGGTCACTTGCTAATAAAAGCAGGATAAAAAACACTGAGGTGGGAGCAATAATCTCAATGGCAAATTCCCCATAATGTACTTATTCACAGCACGAATCCCATCAGTACAACATGTCATACCTGCACTGAGTTTCTTTTTTCACCCAAATACTGGTTTCATTCACTAATTATTTCTAGTGCTGTCAAACAATTAAAATATTTAATCGCGATTAATCGCATTAATGTCATAGTTAACTCGCAATTAATCGCACATTTTTATCTATTCTAAATATCCCTTGATTTCTTTTGGTCCCATTATTTTTTTCTCATTTTAATGCTGTTATCAACATGGAAAAGTGGATCGGCTTATTTTGTGCAAATGTTGTATTTATTGAAAACAACATTGGCATATACTGTAGTGTTCAATTTCACACTAACATTCTCACTTGGAGCAAATAATCTCTCACACAATGTAACACTGTCCATCAATAAAAGGGTGAAAGAAATACTTTGTCACACAAACAGCCCCTTCAACAGCCCTTTCTAAGGGATCAAAACAGGGCGATACAAAATAAAATTAGTGTAGTGCACATGTAAGGTAAACTAGGACTCTATAGTGCAGTTAAACCATGGCTTAATACTTTTCTCAAGTTTGCTTTGAACATAGCAGTCAGGCTACTGCTCTTTATTCAACAGAGGCTCAACCCAGCCTCTTATTTCAGAAAGAATGAACAGTAACGGTTACCAATAAAAGGTAAGCCTACTGCTTCTGATGTGGAGAATTCTCATCAGCTGTGTGTTTGGCCATCAAGTGGTATTTCAGACTGGACGTGCTGCGATGATAGCTCAGTTCACAACGACAAAACACACAGATCACTTTGGTCTTGTCAATGGAACCATTTGGCAACTTTTTAAAAGTAAACTTCCATTCAGAATATTATTGGCATCCATTTCCTGCCTCGCCATCCACTCAAAACGTAACATCTACTACTCTTAAACAAGTGTGTGTGGCGTGCCTGTTGTTTGTTTCCGGTCTAGCTAGATTCGGTGTGGTGTTGTAGTTTTCCAACGTTACTAGTTGTTGCAACAGCATGTAAAAAAACAAAGTGTGCTAGGCCAAAAAGAACGTAATCCGCGATAAAAGATTGATGCCGTTAAAATGGGTTTGCGTTAACACCATAATAAAAACGCATTTAACTGACAGCACTAATTATTTCCAACCACTTTGACATTGATTTGGGGTTTGTTTATCCCTGTTAATCTTGTAACCAATAACACTGAACGAAAAGGAACAGAGGATATTAGGCCATTTGAATTGCTAGCATGCTTTCAGTTTAAAACATCTGTGCAGGAAGTGTTGAGTTTCACTGACAGTGGTTTAACAGCAATCGGAAATTAGGCAAAGTGAGCGGCAGAGTATGTATATCATGTATGACATGATGTTGTACTGATGGAAAAGTACCTAGTGTTGAGTTTGTATTGACAGCATAAACACCTAAATATGAAATTATATAGTTATAAGTCAGGGGTAATTAAAAAATAATGCCTGTTTTAAAGTGAAGGCTTGTCAGGGGGTTGAGGTAAATAAAGGCCCGAAGTATCATGCCTTTAACTAGAGTGTTGAAAGTTCTATGGTCTTAGGTTGCAATTAAAAACTTCAGACTTTCAAAAAAAGCCCCACCAAACCAATTCAAATCATGGGTTTGCAGATATTTTTTTCTCTGGTTTTTGAGGTTCTAGATTCTTCTGTAATTAACCAAATATCCTCTATGCTGGTCACTGAAAATTAATCAGTATTTATTGAGTACCTGATGGTGAGCCTCTTAATTGGCAGAAGGGCTTATTTTCGAGAGAGTCAAAACTGATCATTTATTTCTACCAAGAACTCATTTTAGTTCTCTACTGGCATTCCATCCTTTTGCTGAGTTCTGCTTTCATGTTACTTCTCAGCATGGGACTTTAATCAGAGGGAACTCAGTGGGAGACAGTGCATCTTCCTCAAGCATTTTTCCCAACTGGTTCCCTCTCATAGCCCTAATTCTTTTTTTTAAATCAATAACAGAAATAAATCAAAGACAAAGGTTGCTTTAAACCTCTTTTTACCAACATACTGCAGGTCACATGACTGGCCATGCCTTAGAGATTTGACTTCCCCTGCTGGGTTCTTAAAGTGTTGTGTACAAGTTGTGTCTCATCCTGTTTGGAATGACCGCAGGAGGCCTGGCTGGATAATTGCACCGAGTTCCTTCACAGGCAGGCCAGCTGTAATGATTCCAGGGTTACGTTCCCTACTGTTGGCTACTGCTTTAGTTCATATGCTATGCCTACATTTTTAATAAAGTGTGGCTAAGTAATTCAAACATTCCCTCTGATGTCACTTTGGAGAAGATTTACATTTTTATATTTTACATATTCCTATTTATTTAGATAAATTCATGAATATATATTTGTTTAGAAATATGTTTATATATTTTTTCAAGCTTTTTTCCTGGGCTGCTTGTAGTTTGTATTTGGAAAATAAGAGCTGCAGTATTTTAATGTCCAGTCCACAATGAGTTTTGCCATGCATTTTTTTGTTACATTCACGTATTTGTCGAATAGGAGGAGTAGCGGGTATACACACATACACAGAACCTAAGAAGACTCAAAAGTTAGAAAGTTGGAACTGAAGAGAGTTATCTTAACAGGCTTTTATCAAAGGAAAATGTGCTGCTGTGCCTTCTTGTATTAATGAAAGAGTTCACACTTAACTTCACAACTAACTTTCTGCCCTTACTTTGACTTGTCTGGTTACTGCATTCAATTGACACTGAGTGAAGTCCAATTTATGTAATGGGTTTTCATCTCAGGCCACACTGCAACTACATGATTTGACAAGTTGTGCAGTGCACTGATATCCACTGTCAGTCTCATTGGTTCAGTTCGAGAAGGAGGAAATGTTGTCAATCTAATAACTCCTGGCTCCATAAAAGTTTTTTTCTTGTGAAAGAATTGTTTAAATTGGCCATAAAATACATTATTGTAATGAAAAAGAATGAATTAAAATGCTCCATAATTCATTAAAATGATGTCCACCTTGGTATTGTAACAGTTTAAGAGTCTTTGCATGATGTCTAATTACACATTACCACTGTAATGTGGGAAATGATGAGATGTAACTAAAAGGTACTCATGGTGATGGCTGTTAGAAATCTGTACTCAGACATAGACGTTAGAATCCTGGTTATGTTCAGGTTTTTGGAGCATCCTGGTTATGTATGTGTGCATGTAAGCATCATATTCTGGATTCAGCAACATGGATTAGCTCTAATGCCAGTTCTGACAAATCTGATTGTGCTACATTACTAAGTAATTGAATGGGACAGCTTTAATGCAGAGGATACAATTTATTGTCTCTTCTGTCTTCCATTAATGCTGATCAGATAAGGATGTCATATCAAGCAGAGTAGTAAATGAACCAAGCTGGGTTCATCCTTTACTAGGTCTACACACACAGTTGAAACATGCACCACTACAACTCACAAGAAATAATGCAAACATTACCACAGAGCAAATAAAATAATATTGTATGATGGCACCTGCGTGATAATAGTCATACAGCAGCCATTGGGCTATTCACACCTTGTCCTCTTGTTTAGTTGATGTAGGGAGGAGGTTGTGATAGGTAAATGGGTTACACACAGTTAACTTTTTTTATTTATTTTTTCCAGTTTTCAGGTTCAGGAAACAAAACTACCGGTTTAGGTTCTGGAAGCAAAACTACTTCTTTAGGTTTAGGCAGCAAAACAATTTGTTTAGGTTGAGGAAACGAAACTACTCAGTTAGGTTTAGGAAACAAACTTTGTTAGGTTTAGAAAACAAAATCACTTAGGGTTAGGAAACAAACCTGTTAATAGCCACATTAGCTCTTCCAGATTTAAATAGCAGTGTTGGCTACTGACACCTAGGTGCTAATAGCATCTGCAATAAAATGAATGCTGTATTTTAGCAAAGGAAATTTCACCTATCATGTTTTATGTTTATGTGCATTAAGTGTAAGGCTGTCACGATACCAGAATTTTAAACTTCGATACAATACTAGTATAAAAATAGTTACTCAATACCTCTTTTGATACCACAGAAAAAAAGGAAAAAAGGCATGTTAAATAGTATCATGTACAGAAAAAGCCACTGAACACATAATGAAGACCAGTTTATTTTCTACCCCATTGTTTTATCTGTGCACCTTTGGGTTGGAAATCTGATTGATCCAGGTTTTCTTTATCGCTTTCAATACTATCGAATTATAGTATTGTATCATTTTAAACATGTGGTATCAAAAAAAGTATTGTTAATTTTGACATCCTTAATTCAGTGATATGCTATCAAATGACCTGTACACCATGTGTAAATGCACCTTAACACTCCAACCCAGAATACTAGAGTGCATGTAATGTTGTCAGTGTTTGGTAGTTGTTAAAATAGAATTCAATGTGGATTATCTTTTAAAGACAGTCAGAAATAATGGGTTTCCAGATGCTTTTTTCTGTGTATTGAATAGACTGACAGACAATACACAGTCAGTCATAATATAGACACAAACAAAACCCTGACCGTGAACCCGGACGTAAAACGTGTCTTGTGCCAGAAGAATGTGTGAGTACAGTTGCATGGTGGATGTCCTCATGGAGGCTGGGGTAAATCCAGGTTTGCACTCAGAAAACAAAGTATCTTTCCCCCTTATGTAACACGGTTGCTGAACATGTGCAGCCTGTCGTGTAATTTAACCTTCTCTTTTTAAGGCAATGTTGAACGTGCTCTGTTTTGAATTGTTCTCATCTCCTTTTTTTCTCTTCCAGTCCGAACAGCACTAATTGCTATAATCGGATTCATGCCAACAAAAGGAGAAGGAGCAATAGGATCTCTTGATTATACCCCAGAAGAGAGAAGGGCCCTTGCCAAAAAGTAAGATGTGCTAGATGACAGGTTTTCCAATGTTTACTCTGCATGTTTACTCTGTTGTGTTGTGTATGTACTGCTATGGATAGAGAATGATAATGAGGTGAGCGTGGGAAGTGGTCTGGAACCGTGTGTATCGTATAGATGATATGATCTTGCATGCTGAATTAGCAAACACACAGGTAGAGGATATGATCAGTGCTGCTGACATTACATGCATGATGCTGGTTAGATGGCATTAACGCAGCAGACTCTGTACGGGTATGTAATGTAATCAGCACCTGAGCCTCGGTTGACATGCCCCCCACTAATAACTGCCTAGTCACAAAGGGAAAGGAGCGCGCCCAAGCCAGTCCTGGTATTGCAAGATGACAAATTCATTATCACCAAAATACGCCGTCTCTGGAGGGAGCATGAATGGGCACGCTGCTCTTCATTTCACACCGCATTTCCCTCGGAGAAAACAGTACAAAGCCAGAGAAGGAGAGGATCCAGCGAAAGTCACTCTTCGATTAGTAGATGAGACGGGGGTCTTGATCAGCGGGCTGTTTCATTAGCACATGGAGATGAGATAGACAGGAAGACGCACTTTTCTATAAATACATGGCTGCTTATCTCCTTGATGGAAAACCTTTTTCCTTATTTTTTTTCTCTGCTAAGGCTGAGGCAGCACTTCTCTTCGGTTTCTCATCTCCTGTGCTTGTGCCCCTGGTGATTGTGAGAACTGTCAGTCAGAGAAGGGCCTCTGCACAGCAGGAAAAGGCTCATGTCCAATATTTTCAGACTTTTGCCGAGTTTGTGAGTGACAAGTAAACTTGCCAAAGTTGGCCAGCCTGTGATGTGGCAGGAAAAACACACGGGGGCCCTGTGGAGGTCTGGGAAATCTCAGAAAAAAAATATGAAAAATGTCATTCATTCCTGACACCTGAGTGCACATTTCATATACAGGAGATCGGCTGTCATTACATATATTGTGATATTAGTTGTTAAAAGTAATTTATAGTGGCCTAACTGATGGTCATATTGAATGCCTTTACCGTTGGATGATATTATTTACAGAACAAAAGATTCAAGTAAACTCAAGACAATACAGCTTTGAAATGATCACCAAACTGGAGCTTATCCAAACTTAATGTCCAGCCCACACTGGATTTATCTTTTTGCCAGGTAACTCCTCAATCTTCTCTTCTTCTCACAATAATTTTATTATTATTATTGTGATAGAAATGAATGGGGAGGAAGGAAGAAGCTTAGAGGAAGAGTTGGCAACAATGTACGTGTTAAAATATTTTAATAACATGCATCATTAGCGTCTTCGAGTCACTTAGAATGGGAAGTGAATCCTCATTTCCTTCTTGGGCTCTGATCCATTGAGTTTGGGAACTGCAAGTTTTCAGGCTAAGCTGTGTCCTCAGTCACCACCAGTCAAGAGGTGTCTGCGATGTGGCCATGCTGTTACACTAATAATAGTAATAATAAACCTAATTTATGCAGAACTTTTCAAAACAAAATTATAAATTGCTTTACATGGTTAAACAAGGATTAAAAAGTAGCGAAATCAGACAATTAAAATAATACAGAAATAAAATGGAATAAAATACCTAACAATAATTGAAGGTAACAAACAATAATAATTAATCAGATGGCTCTGGCTCATAGGGGAGCAGCAATTCAGCAGTATAACAGGGAGCTAAACCCTGAAGTGTAATCAGTAAAATATTAAAATCAATTCCAAAACTTACTGGTAAGCAGTGAAGTGAGGCTAAAATAGGGCTCATATCATCTTGTCTTCTAGTATTTGTCAAAAGCAGAGCAGCTGCGTTTTGTACTGGCTGAAGGCATGAGATCATTTTTGTCTTGAGTACAGTGAATTACAGTAATCTAACCGAGATGATAAAATAATAATAATAATAATATAATAATTTTTCAAATTAAGCTCACTGTCAAATACTACACCCAGGTTTCTGGCTGCAGGTTTGACATTTGAAGACAGGGGGCCAAGGTATTTTTGTACAACTATACATTGGGATAGACTTCGGAGGTCTACGAATAATAATAGTAATAATAAACAAATAATTTCAGATCTGTTTTCATTTAGCTGGAGAAAGTTTTCATTTAGCACTTCATTTCTGACAGACAAGATAATAACTGATGAAAATTGCCTTCAGTGGTTTTTAATGAGACATATATTTTCGTGTCATCCACATAACAATGGTATTGACCAGCAGCAGCAGTGTCAGTCATATAGTAGTTTCTGGAGATGTGTATATATTATTTTGTGTACACCCCCACGCACTCAATTGTTGAGTTATTCTAAGATACAGTATGTTTTTGGGTACAGCGCACTACGTGATTTCTACCCCTTGGCCATGGTGCCAACATTCTCTACTCTGTTATTTACACCTTGAAGCTGTAGATGTAGACTCCTATAAATTGCCTGTGGTGGGCCAGGAGGGACAGTTGTCACAACAGTCATTAATTTTTGACAACCCAACAAATAAATTGTGGGTGAAACTGGGCAAAATGCAAGAAAGCGTATGCCTAGTTATCGAGCATGTTTTCCCTCTTTTTTTCAATTTCACATGCATTTTTTTAAAAGTTTGAAGGACATGTTTTTCAAAGCACTGAAGTTTTTCAGCTTGAGTAGAAGGTTTGTGATCTCGCAGTTCGGGAAATCGTTACAGCCCAAAATATTTAGTTTTCTGCATGCTGCAGAATCTTAATAATCAAATATGTCTTGGCAGATGTTCAGACTGAAAATGGCACTGCATTAAA